TCCATAAATAGCAACACCCTTGTGGTCCCGGGCCCTAAGGAAGTTAGATTGGCTTCAACCAGAGCCAGGGCCTTTTCAACTCTGGCTCCGGTCTGGTGGAACGCTCTGCCTCATGAGACCAGGGCCCTGCAGGATCTGATTTCTTTCCGCAGGGCCTGTAAGACAGAGTTGATCCACCTGGCCTTTGGCTTGGAGCCAATTTGATTCCCTCCCTCTCTTTCTTTTTTCTTTTCCTTCTCCCTCTGTGATGAGGCTACATTTTAATATTTTAATGTTTCAATATTTTAATGTTGTATTTTTTAATTTTGTTTTTAAGTTGGAGTCGGTGGAAGAAGATTGGAAGAAATTTAAAGACTATTTACAGAAATATTGTAAAACTAACGAATGTTAGAATGATGTCAGAATGAAGTTAAGTGGTTTTAGCAGCAATGTTATAAGGTGTATGTAAAAATGGATTGTTAACAGGTGAGAACCTAAAGCTATAATATATTAAGTTAAAGGATTAAGATAAAAACAAAGAGGGAAAGGAATTGCTGAATTAATTAACTGAACTGGAATACAAAAAAGGGAGGCGCAAGGAGGTCAGGGAAACAAGTAAATGAAATGTAAGGCATGGAAAGATTGATTTGTTTTTTAAGTCTTTTTTATTTTTTCTGTATTTTGTATTTTTTCTATTTTTCTTTTTTTATATATATGTAACTTTTTTTTTGGAAACCCTAATAAATATCATTTTTAAAAAAAATTTGTTTTTAAGTTGTAATCATTTAACTTGTTTTTATTATTGTTTGTAAGCCGCTCTGAGCCCGGCCTTGGCTGGGGAGGGCGGGGTATAAATAAAAATTATTATTATTATTATTATCACTGGTCAGAACTCATAACTTGTAGAGGGCTTCACCTTTTCTTCTATTTCTCAATCCATTTTGGTTCTATTTCTATTTTCCCTCTGAGCTTTCCCCACCATGCAGATTACTGTAAGCTCTCCCCCACCCTGAGCTCATCATAGAGTATCCCTGCCTTCTTTAATATTTCCTTCTCTCTTACACACACAAAAATTGGGGGGGGGGCAGGAGAGAGAGATGAAGCAGTTCTCAGAGGGGTAGTCCAGAGAGCAGGAATGAGTATGTAGAGATGGTGGAGTCACATGACACTTGGCTGTGGGCCATATTTGGCCCCTAGGTCACAGGTTTTCCACCACTAGTTTATGTTTTGGCTGTAAATATTTAATATACTATTAATTGTATTGAGATGATGATGATGATTGTAAGTCATATGCATGGAGAAGAAAGAAGAAGAAGAAGAAGAAGAAGAAGAAGAAGAAGAAGAAGAAGAAGAAGAATCACCCAGTGAGATATAATTTCGTCCTTATTGTATTGTGAAAATTTTCAATAAAACTTCTTTTTAAAAAAACCACCAAGCTAAATTGTATATGCCTTCCGATGACATATAGTTTACTATGACTGCCCATCACCTTGAGTAAATAATAATAATAGCTTTTATTGTTGATGAATTTTTATTCAAGAAGATTTTTCAAACATGATTCCCAAGCTTGTGGGTTGAAATGGTGTAGTCCAGGAATGACGGTCGTACTTTACATTTCTGCATTTTTTGGATTGCTTGCAAGAAATGTCAAGTTACATTACCCACCCCACTCTTCCCATTTTTCCGTCATGCGTATCACATATATTGGTGTGATCCTCCAGTAATAGTGATCATTCTTTCCCATAGAACATTTTAAATATTTGCATGAGAGGCTCCTAGCAGAACAGATCAGACAGGATCTGAATGTAAATGAAGGAACATTCACCACAAAATGAATCCAAACAAGTTGGAATCAAAGGAAACACTCATAAGTGGCTGGTTATGAAGTTGGACAATGAAAAGGTGAATATTATGCATGAACCAGGGGAGTCCATGTTGTTTCAGCAACATTTTATTGAAAATTGAAGGTCCCTGATACCTTGTAGGTCAGCTACTCCCTCCATTCATAAATTCACTCATAAAATAAATGTTGCATGCCATATTCTTAAGAAAGAAAGCAAATCCTGTTGCCAGGAAAATAATAATAGTCATGCTAAAGAATTTGTCTTCCAGCCTAACCATGCTACTCTGGTGAAGCATCTCTCACTAAGGGCGTATCCACACTTTGTCATACTCCTGCCAGACAGAGGTATGCACTTTAGCACTCCATGTCCAAGCACTGTTGTTGTTGTTGCCAAAAGCCGTTCTTTAAAGATAAATTGGAGCAAACATCAATTTAGGCTTCCCACATAATGATGTTTGTTGCAACTGAGCTTTAAATAGTGGATTTTGGTGTGGAAATAGTGTAGATAAGCCTAAGTCTCCATCTGCACTATATGTATAAAGGAGTATTTTACTGCTTTGAACAGCCATGGCTCCCCCCAAAAGGATCCTGGAAACCAAAGTGTGCTCAAGGATTTCTTGTTGTGATCACTTTGCCTTCCTGGAAGGTAAACTTCTCAGTTAACAGAATTGTGTTTGAACCAGGTCTGCCCACTTGTCTCGTTTGTCAATTCCAACACTCAGGAAGGGATCAGGGTCAGCTCTTTCCTATCTCTGCGTCTGCTACAGCTGGATGAAAGAGGATATAACAACATGTGATTGATGTGGGTTGATACTGCTGTAACTTTGTAAAAGGGGCCGCCGACAGATGCTCCTTAACCACAAAGAGAGACCAAAAAAATGGCAGTGTTCACAGAGGATTTTGGATTGTGCACTGAAAAATGTTGTTTAGTTGTTTAGTCATGTCCGACTCTTCATGACCCTGTAATAAAAAAAAATTAAGGTCTTATATATATAATAAATCTTCTTAAATGTACCAACCTAGCACGTACATAGATATGTGGACCACATGTCTGGAGCAGCACAGAAAGACTGCCCTAAAACCATTTTGAATCCGAAACTGACCAAATGTTTTCTCTGCAAGGAGGGGTGAGGGAGCCTTCTCATTGTCTCAGGAATTGGGTAATCACCATCTCAAAGGAATGGCCAGACTACCAGGAAAGGCAATCAGATAAGGCATTATCAGATAACCTGGCAGACAGGAAAAACAACAACATTCAAATTTCTGTTGTAGACCGCCTTTTCTGTATGATGTTTGTGGGGGGTGGTCTTGGGTTACACCCCTTCTGTGATGTATGTATGATGTATGGAGGAGTGGTCTTGAGCTCCAGGGCAGGGATTTTAAAATGTCTATAAAAGGGCAGGCACACCTTTGTTCTGGGTCCTCCTCCTTTCCTGTATGTGAGGGGAGCACCCTGTTGCAACAGTTCAATAAAGATCAGGCTTACTAGCTGCTTTGCTTCTCAATATTTTCTGATTGGCCTCTGTTACTTTCTCCTACCAATGGAGAACCTACAAAGGACTCTATAAGGGCTCTTGTGTCCCCCATAAGGGAATAAGGGCAGATTTTGTTTATTACAACCCCATGGACCAGAGCACACCAGGCAATCCTGTCTTCCACTGCCTCCCGCAGTTTGGTCAAACTCATATTGGTAGCTTCGAGAACACTGTCCAACCCTTGAGTCATAAAACAGCCTTGTTTGAAGCAGGTGTGGCCAGGTTTTCTTCACTGATCCTGAACAATGTGATGATAGACTTCAGAAATGATGGATTATATGAAATTATGCCTTTTCAAATGCAGTGTTGACGTATAGTACAGTATCGTTGTGGACGTGTACAACACATTGTAAGGCAATACTTTCAGTAAATAATGAAGACGGGTTTGAATGTATTGGAGATAAGCCAATTTCAGACATTCTAGTGAGCATATACAGAGGAAGACTGGGTTCTTAGTGATGTTCAGGGGAAGGGCTGCACTTCACTTGTGGATCATCTGTGTTGCATGCAGAAGGTCCCTGGTTCAATCCCTGGTATTTCCAGGTACAGCTGGGAATGTTCTTTGCTTGAAACCCTGGATAGCCTCTTTAATTTAGACAATACTGAGCTAGAGATGCAATCAGTGTAATGCAGAGTAATGCAGCGTACTGTCTTCCATCACACAAGATATCACATGATATCTTCTTATCATCCATTTATCACCATTGGATTTTAGATGAGCTTTTCTTCTGCTGATTTGCATCGTAAGAACAGTCCTGTTGGATCAGGCCAAACACCCATCTAGTCCAGCATCCTATTCTCACCGTGGCCAACCAGACGCCCATGGGAAGCCTCAAATCAGGACCTGGGTGCAACACTGCTTTCCCCAATAACTAGCTTTATTGCGTGATGCATTTTTAAAATAACATTTATTTTGAATATTTAATAAAATAGCATTTTGTACTTTTGAATATTTGTAAACCACACAGAGAACTTGACAGAGCTATATGTTAACAGTACATGCACATATGCAAGCCAGAAAAAGGAATATTTGAAGTCATAGTAGTCATGAGTTTGAACACCCTCATTTCCACCATGTGGAAAACTGTATGCACAGGGGCACCCTAAAAACATTTTATTGAATGTACATCAGCCAAAAGCAGGGCTTGGCCTTCAACTCTCACCCTTCCCATTAGCTTTAAACAGAACATGTGAAAGGGATATTTGTCGGCCTCTGATGTATAACCACACCAAATAACGTTCATGTGCTATTCAGGAAATAATGTATCTTACAGCTGGATGGATCCTACTTTTCACAGCAGAGTTGTTGTTGTTGTTGTTGTTGCTTTTTGCATTCAGCTTGGTGTGTCTGCCAAATGCTTACAAGCACCCAGATGCCCTTTTGTTTTCAAATTAAGCCTTGCAGCATATTTATAAACATATGCTCAATATATTTCTGAATAAGCATACTCATAAAAGGATGATGAACCAAAATGATCAGGAATTTGTAATGCCTTCTGTACAGAGGGTGGGGAGTCTAAACAAATTAAGGCTGCTCAGCCTAAAAAAGAAAGGAAAGGACATCTGAAGATGAAAAGCAATAAGAGTAACAATAGCAACAGTAGTGGTAGAAGCAGCAGCAGCAACCTTAAATATCATATTCAGCCATAGTTCAATGGTAGAGCATCTGTTTTGTATATGGATGGTCCCAGGTTCAAGGCCCAGCATCTCCAGATAGGATTAGGAGAGACCTTGTCTGAAATCCCATAGAATTGCTGCCAGTCAAGTGTAGACAATATTGAGCTTGGTGGGCCAATGATTGGATTCATTATAAGGTTTTTTCCTATTTTCTTGTCCTTCCTAGACTCTTTCTTTCTTTCTTTCTTTCTTTCTTTCTTTCTTTCTTTCTTAATTCCCAAAAATCATTATGTATATGACCTGCCAGCCTCCCCCAACAATGAGTTTCCTCAGCCAAAATAGAATTCTTATGATTTTCTCTGCTAGGGGGGAAAAAAGACATGGTACCAATTGTGTTTTCATGATATTGTGTCTTTTCATCGGGATGTGATGTGCCCAGAGAACAATGTTATTGGGAAGCCATACACACACATGGATTCAACTAATGAGCCGTGTCAGAGGAAGCACTGCTGAAAGACTGTCTCCTCCTCCTGCCTTGCCATATCCCTGTGATGAGCTGAAACACTGACAGAATGATCACCCTAGCATGAATTCGCCCATAGCTAAATAAATATGTAAACCTACAGTGCCGAACGGCTGAGCTCCTATGGCAGAATTAATCCCATTTATAAGATCAAGAACAGAAAGCTGTCGCAGGAGGAATCGGCACATGCACCATTTGTAAAATAAATTGTAGCCATTTGCCTTGCACAATCAAAAGGCAGGTGGAGTGGATGACAGGAGAAAGCCCAAACCATGGAAGAATTACGACACTGAATAAGGGGAATCTGCGCATCCTAAATGAACAAAAGGCATATGCTCAGAACCAAGTACTGCTATTGGTGGAGGAGATGGAAGCATCTCTCTCAATAGACTGTGATAAAACATAAGACATCAGGTAAAGGAGCATACGGGAACCTTTTGCAGCCCAAAGCAGGTGTGTTAAAGTTGGAGCTTATCTACTCAAGGTATATACCCAGGGTATGAGTGTGGCTTTCCAAGCCTCTCCATCTGGTCCTTGTGGTGATCCCCATGCTACAACCCCTATTTGTCCTACTTCATGTCCTCCTAAGATGTTTTCACTTGGATGAAATGTGTCCTCTTCTAATGCTTTTGCTTGCATGGATGGAGAGGCTGTTTAGAAATTAACCTAAGGTACAAATAGTACATTTGTCACTCCACCCATTTTCCTTTCTGGCCACATCCACGACTGCCATGTGGCACCCAGAAAGTTGCCCAGGAGGGAATGTGGGCAACAGAGCTACAATTCCCAGATCGGTTTAACAGGCAAGAACTCCATAACAACTCTCAGCACCCTTAACGAACTACAGTTCCCAGGATGCTTTGTGGGAAGTCACGTCAGTTTAAACTGGTACAGTGCTGCTTTAAATATATAGTGAAGTTGGTGCCTATGATTGTCTGACATACAGTGGACTAGAAACAACAGCTTTGGGTACTTCTGAGGAAGAGAGTCTAACGAAACCTGAGGAATTCAGCGTTTGCAGATTCTGACATGAATTGACCTGATCTGCACCTGCTAGACTGATGTCCTCAGCTCTGAAAACATTTAAAAATGTAGATCTAATATGTTTACAAATTTTAGTTTGAAAGGAAATTTGATATGAATTGAAATACAATGCAATTTGTGGTGAAAATGCCTAATTTTTTGCTTTGGAGATTAATGTACACACACACACACACACAGACGGGACAGAAAAGACTGGAGAGTGCACAAAAGCAAAAAAAAAATAGATTGTCTCATCCTTCCCTTGTAGAGAGAGCTCTCTATATCCCTATATCCCTCTCCCGCCCATCTCTCTCTCTCTCTCTCTCTCTCTCTCTCTCACACACACACACACACACACACACACAACTTATCTGAAACCAATTCCCTGTCTAGTTTTCAATTTCCAGTAATGGGAAATGCAGACGATAAGAGGTTGAACTTGTCACAACATAAACCTCACTCCAGACTCCACGGCACAAAGCAATCTTTATGACCCTGTTGCTTTATTTACAATTGCACCACTGTAGGAGGCACAGCTACCTAAGCAGATTGTCAATGAATCAAATAAAGGCTCTAATGGAGGGCAGGCATCAAGAAGGGACCATAATCAGCATCCACTGTAGCCTTCTTCAGGCATTCTCAAAATGTGTAGAGTAAGCATGCAGTGGAGCCGGGCAGTGGGGACAAGCTCACTAGCTTTGCCCCACATCATTGTTCTTGCCTCCATGAATTAGAGGCAACTATCTGAAGTGGGGGGGGGGGCGGCTGGGACGCAGGTGGTGCTGTGGGTTAAACCACAGACTTGCCGATCAGAAGGTCGGCGGTTCGAATCCCCGCGATGGGGTGAGTTCCTGTTGTTCAGTCCCTGCTCCTGCCAACCTAGCAGTTCGAAAGCACAAAGAGCAAGTAAATACATAGGTACCGTTCCAGCGGGAAGGTAAACGGCGTTTCCATGTGCTGCTCTGGTTCGCCAGAAGCGGCTTAGTCATGCTGGCCAAATGACCTGGAAGCTGTCTGCGGACAAACGCCGGCTCCCTCGGCCAATAAAGTGAGATGAGCGCCGCAACCCCAGAGTCGGTCACGACTGGACCTAATGGTCAGGGGTCCCTTTACCTTTACCTTTATCTGAAGTGGGAAGCCTCATGTACTCATGGGAGCTTGCCACACATTTTAGAGCCCTGGAAGATCAGGGTCCTAAAACATATGGGAAGCCTCTATGAGCACCTGAGTCTCCTCACTTCACCTTTGACTTGCAGAAGGGTGGAGCCAGTGCAGTCATCCCTGCTGCCTACCTTGTATGTTTACATAAGGGGTGTCTGGCTAGCCATTTTTGTCCTGAAGGCTGCATAGAGAGTTGACCACCTCTTTAAGAGCCACACAGCAGTGCACACATGTCCCATGTGTGTGCGTGCCCAGTCACACAATGCATGCACACACACACAATTATTGTCCATATTTAAAATCCTTCTCCCACCAAAATAATCTATTTTCCATTTAAGCCCACCCCCAATTCTTCCCCATTATTTATCCCATCTCCCCATTTATTTCATCTTACTGCTTGTTTTCCCCTTTTTCCAGTAGCCTCGCCCCAATATTTCTGCATCTTTATTTTTATTTAATTTTAGCCCATTTTATTTTCTGTAACTTTGTTTTATTTTGCAGGGATTATTCCTCATTATTTTGCTTCCCCTTCCCCCACCCCCTGAAGAATTACTTCAGAGAAGGTGCTCTGTCTCACCTATCTTTCTCAATAGGCAATGTTTGCTGCAGTTAAGCTCATTAACATCCTACTGACTGCTTCATTGTTATTCAATCACCCTCCTGCTGTAAAGCCTTTGGCTGCAATCAACTCTGATCACTGCTCTTCCGCTCCTTGGCTACAGAAGACCTCTTGTTCAGCTTCCTACTAGCGCTATATTTAACATACCTGGAAGCATCAACAGAGAAATACGTGTTGGTGAGCTCTGTGACGTCCTGGTGTGCAGGGGACACCCCCTCCCCAATAATTATCTGAAGGGATCCTGAGGGGCACCCTAAAACTCTTGTATGCACATATATGGCCCACAGACTGTGAATTGGCTACCCACTCTGTACATATCTAGAGGATGAATGAAGAGGTCTTATGTGAAGGCAATAATCTGACTAGTTTCAAACACCCAATTCATCAACCAGTATAATCTGTTTTTTGTTTTTGTTTTCATTACTGGAAATGAAGGCTGCAGTCCCACACACAGCCAGATTGCTTTACAGTACAATGCTATGTGTGTCTATTCAGAAGTATGTACCATTGAATTTAATGGGGTTGCTGCCAGGTAAACATGGGTAGGATTGCAGCCTTTACATCATTGGAGCTAAATATTTGTTTGCACCATTCAAGAGCGTCATTCATCCATTCATCCATTCATTCATCCATCCCAAAAGGGAGCTCTCCAAATCACATGAAACGGATGCTGGAATATATTGCAGAGCATTAGGAGGTAACATGCCCATCTTCTAACTGTGGAAACTTAAAGACTGCATGATATTATCTCGTGATCTTATTTTCCAAAGTCATTGCCAGCGATTAAGACTGGTTTGATCACCATATGGGATGGCTGCATATTCCTTCATTGAAGAGGGGTTGGACTAGATCCTTCACAACTCTACCATTCTATGACTCTAAGTCTATGGAAGAACACCCTTGGGAAGAATTCTGCCCCTGCATGATTTTACAATTTAATAAAAGCCAGATGCAGCTCACTGGATGGTGCACATCCACTATGCGAGTTTCACTGCTGATGGGCTATTGTTGCTTTCTGGGCGGGGGGAAAGGGAAAGGGAAAACATCAGGGAGGTTAGTGAAGCTGTTTTCACCCTGTTGATCTCCATGTCACCTCCCACTTCTGTTCTTCCTCTTGGAAAGCAACAGTGACCAACTTGCTGGGAAACTAGTGTGGTGGATCTGCCCCGCTGGGTGAGTCACTACTGATAAAACCCTCTGGAGCCATTTGCCTGAGCTCATGATTGTTAAAGATGGGTTGGGGTGGGGAAGGGCAAATGGAAAGGGCAACCAGGAACAAAGAACAGAAACAGCAAGCACACTTTTCCCATCAAGAACTTTGGGTAGGTTGCTGTGTGTACAAGAAAGTTTTAGCTGAGGATTTTTAGGGTTTTTGTGTTTTTTTAAAAGAAAAATCTGTCCCTGTAGCCTGGGAGAATTCTGTAGCCTATATGAAATAATTGTTACAATTATTGCTGGCATCATTATTATTTTTCAGATTGGCTCCGGCTGTTAATCTCTATCCTTCCTGTCATCATGGTTGAGAGCATGTTATTGTCTCAGATACAACTGTACTTATAAAGGATTTTATGAATTAAAGAAATGGCCGCTCCCAGGCAAGTTAAATTTTCAAAATGCTATAGCAGATGCCTTTGTTTGCTGTAGGAGAGTACAAATCTTTTATGGCGATGTCCCGACCCATTCAGCAACTGGCCTGTGAGCCAAAATGAGAGGGGGGAAATGAGGGGGTGGGAATAATATGTAGCTGCAAATCACCAAATATTCTCCCA